TAAATAAACACAGTGAAGGAACATCAGCAAGACCCCCAGAGACTATGGTACCATCTTAGCCCAGAGGACCATGATGGCAAATAGAGCCCCAGGAATATGCCTCAAATTCAGCCAGAGTTTGTACTTTTCAGAGGCCCTGGACACAAACTGTGAAACTTTATTATAATACAGTCCTCTAGTGTAGGAAACCGCAGAGGGATGCAATACAAGCAGAGTTACTTGGCAGCAAAGGCACCCTTAATATGTGAAAATGAAACTATAACACACACAAAAGGCACACAGACAAGCAGGAAGGAGGAAGGGTGAAACAGTAAAATAAGTTAGCTCTGGCTATCATTAGCTCTGGTTCCACCTACCACTGGTCTCCCTGCCTTCTGACCCTTGCTCCCAGTTCCCACTGGGCTGGGAGAGACTCGTCTGAAACCCTAGAGAGCAGCTGCCAGTCAATGGAGGCAAAAATGAGCTGAATTAACCAATGGTCTGACTCAGTATAAATCAACTTCCTATCTTGCTACGATGTAATATGTTGGACGGCTATACCATTTCATACCTTACACAGGGAGCAGGGAAGACTGGATGGATAAATTCTCATCACAAAACATGTTCCCTTCTGTGTGTCATGACAGTTGCATGTGTGTAGGAAAGTTGACTGGGATATTGGATGGGACAACATTCAAACATTTAATCCCTCCCCATCCGGCAGGCTGAACTTGTACAGCTCACTGACAGGTAAATCACATGTAGCTTCTGTTCATTTGCTTGAGCTTCCAGTCAGTGACACAGAAGCTGAATTGTTAAATCACCTTCTTAATGATGCACATCTATCAATTGCCCAAATATGAAAAACAATGGCTGAAATTAACGCCTCATTGTGGTGGAGTAATATATGGAAAATTGCATTACATGAAAAGCTTAGCAAGTAGCACCTTTTTTTTTTTTAAGGAAAAACAAAGGTAACTTCTTTTGTCTCACTTTGGTGAGATTTTATTAAATACATAAAAAAAGAAAATTTACATTTGTCTCTTCCACAAGTCTCTCGAGAAAGTTGGGATATGTAACACCTAATTGGTTGGAAAAAATTTCTTGATGTAATATAGAGCCTTTTATTCTTGGTACTCCTTGTGCCTCTGAAGGTTTCAGTTATAGGTTTATGTTTCTGTATCTCTTGCAAGTCATGTGCACCAAACTTCTTGTTCTCTCATTTCTTATGACAGTACTCTCCAGTTACTTGTCTGTAGCTTATCGCAAATATCCGAATAATCAGCTTTGTCATTTCTTCCTGTGAATGTAATATCCAATGCCAGCCTAGGTTTAGTTTGGATAGGTTTTTATGTGTTTGTCTCATGAATTTCTACTTTGGTAATTGGGTTATGTGGATAAAATCCAATAAAAATACTTCTTTTTTAAAAAAGCTGATTAATAAGATGAAGCAGAGTGGAGTAGCAGACTTGGCTGTTGTGTGCTTCCACATCACTCGAAAGGACTTTCAGCCACCCTGCGTCAGTGTAGCACAGTTGCCCTCTGCAGGCGTTCAAAGAGAGCATGTGCAAGTCCCAGTATCAACATCTCCATCCCAATAGGAGATCTTTTTGTATGAAGGGATCTTATAGCTGCACTCTGCTCAAAGAAGGGGAAGCCTTTGCACAATCAGAAACTATTAGGGTTCACGATTGTGCAGGGGCTTAATCCAAATCCATTTGGAAGCTTCATTCCCACTCGATGCAGGAAGATCTGGGTGGTATATTTTATTAATCCATTTATTTTTGAACTTACATCTTGCCCTTCCTCCCAAAGGAGCCCCGGGGCAGCAAACAGTGATAGAACAATCAAAGCATCTAAAAACATTACAGATGTAGCTTCCGGGGTGGCGCCACCGGCAATGGCGGACTCCCTCTGAACTGGAGGGACTAGCTCTGCGGAAAACGGGTCTTCTCCGCTACGGCGAAGCGGGGACCCACTTAAAAATCACAGGCGGATGAAGCCTGTGACCATGGGACTCGGCGGGCACCTTTAGCGCCCCCCCCAACCCGCTAAGGAACCCACTAACGGGCTCCGAAGTGAAGAGGGGAAGTGGCGCGGTGCTGTGAGTCAACTGCTATTTCCGTGGAGCGAAGCAGCATAGCTGTTGCCGGAGAGCGCTGCCTTTTCCTGGGACAATTTGGACTTTAAAATAAGCACCCGTGAGTACTTAGACTTTGAACAATTGGACATTAAATAAGGACTTGCGAGTAGGAAAGAATCAGACTTTAAAAATTTACTTGAATTTGGTACGGAACGGGAAGGTCTAAACAGGAAGTCATCCTTCCGTTCTTTTGTAAAGAGAATAAAGCAAAGGCAATTTAAACTAGAGCTCAGAAAATCGCTTTTAAAAGATTGGATTTCACCATTTAAATTGTGGAACCCCCCTTCGACAGCAGGAGAAGGGGGGGATCTTTTTGGACTGTTTAAAGTGACTTTAAAGTGAAGTAACTTTCCTCCGTCCTGATCCTGGAGCGGGCTGTCAGGACTGATGTGTGAAGTTCATTAACCAAAGACAAGTGCTTTTGACAGATGGCTAAAAGAAGAGAAACCTAGTGATTCCACTGTTCCCTTTCGCATTTTAAAGGATTATATATGGACAAAGTATCTTAAAAAAGGAAACATTGTTGCAAGAATAAATAGAAGTCTTCCCCCTAGGGGGAGTCTGTGAAATTGTAACTGTGAAACTGTAACTAACTCCAGGGAGTCGACAGCTTACAGATTACAACCGTGGGAACAAGTATCTGACCTTGTAGGACAATGTATTCAGAAGCCTTGTTGTATGCTCTCTATAAAACAAACGATCTACTGGAACAATTACACGAGAAGGTGAACTGGATGGCGACTTCGACTAGAAATTTTGAACAGGCAGTGGGAAACTTTGAACAGACAGTGGGAAAATATGTGGAGCCCACTCAGGATTTAAATCAGGAGTGTGTCTTGACAGAACAGGAGTTTTTGACATTAAATCAGGAGTGTGTTTTGACAGAACAGGCCCAACAGGAATATGATTTTTGGATTTGACAAATGAACTTGGAAAAAGCCATATCTGGAAAGGAAAAGTTTGGCTTGGTTTGGAAATGGGGGGCTGGATTGACCCCCCTATGCTGGGATGTTTGGACTTTTCAAATATGGCAACGGGCCGTGAGATGTTTGGGACTGTGGGGGCTCTCAATTTTGGAGGGCCTTTGAAACATGCTTTTAAATACTACATGGAATTCATTGTTGAACATGGAAAAGGGGCTGATCTGTTGAGAAGGGTTAAAAACATTGTCAAGCTGGAGTTACCACGAGCAGGAGACAAGGGAAAATACAGTTACAAATATGAAGAAGAGCCGCGGAAGGGTCATGGAAGAGACTTGAGGGCCTCGGACATAAGGTTGCCAGGTTAATGGGCTAGATTGACGGGAATAAGGACTGACAAAACCCGGAACCAGGAGGAAGGGACGCTGGATGAAGATTGGATCTGTTTATACCTCTTTTTCTACCATTAGAACTGTTTTATAAAATTGATGAATGATAGAAAAATGTTGGAATGAAATTACTTGGCTTTAGCAAAGATGTTTAAAGAATTATGAAAGAATATTATGATTATGAGAAGTTGGTAAGGATAAGATTTAAGTTTTAAGTTTTAAGGTTTATTTTATTACAGAAAGATAAGGTCAAGGATTTGCTGAGATAATTAATAACTAGGATACAAAGAAAGGGAGGAGGAGGAGGTCTAAGAAAGAAGGTAATGACAGTTAAGGATTGGAAAATAATGAATTTGTTTTTAAATGTTTTTAAAGTTTTGTGATTTTTGCATTCTTCTTTTTTTCTTTTTTTCTGTCATTTTTTCTCATTTGGAATTTTTTCGTACATGGTGGGAAGGGGTTGGTTTTTTCCCCCTCTTTTTTTCTATCTTGTCAATTATTTTTATCCTTTGTACTCTCTTCTGCTTCTATTTTATTTTTTTCTCTTTTTTGTAACATTTTGAAAATCTCAATAAATATCTTTTTAAAAAATAAATAAAAACATTACAGATGTAGACTGGGAAAGATCACTGCTTAAAAGGCTTGTTAAAAAGAAAGACCTTCAATGGGTGCTGAAAGGACAACAGTCTAATATTTAATGCAAGGGAATTCCAAAGACGGGTGCCACCACACCAAAGGCCTAATTCCTACACTGCAGAAAGGAGCTCTCGATAAGATAGTATCTGCAGGAGGCCCTCATCTGCAGAGCAGAGTGATTGACTGGGTATAGAAGAGGTGAGATGATATTTTAGATACATATGGGGCAGGGAAGTTGGTGATGGGGCTGGTGAATACAACCACTGCACCCTCTACCTACCTCCCACCCACCCACATTGCTTGAGTAGGGATGCTGTTGGAATGCATCTCCAAAACCGCTGGTCTTACAAGCAGGTGACAGAGCATTTAGGGAGTGAAACTTGTCACGTACCCACAGGTCTAGCTGTGTCACATCCACTAGTGTGGATGAAATATAGCCGGATGTACCTATGCAAACAGTTGTATACCTGCACAAGTTGCAATTCCACATGAACGTTGCAGCAGAACAGCAAATGACTGCCTAAAACTAAAAGACACCATTCATGAAGGACCTAAGCTCTTTTTGAAGCTATCGAAGCAAGCAGCATTTACCACATCTTGTGGCAGTGAGTTCCATAAGTTAAAAATGTGTTTTAATAAATACTTCCTTTTTCCTCTTGTGATCCTGCTCCTAATCTACCTCACTCTGTAGCACAGAGTTCTAATACTATGAGAAAGACAAATTTTACATTTTACAACTTTGCACACAGCTTATAGTTCTATAACTCCCTACCATCTTGCCTTTCTCATTTCCCCCTAAATGTCAATGCTACAGAAGTTTTAGACCAGAAATGGGGAACTTGTTGCCCTTCAGATGTTATTGGACTCCAGCTCCCATCAGCCCCCAACAAACATTGCCAGGGGTCAGGAATGGTGGGAGTTGTAGTCTAGCAATGTCTGGAGGGGATCAAACCTGCAACCTTGGTGTTATCTGCACCATGCTCTCACCAACTGAGCTATGCAGCTGACTTGTAGCCCAGCAATATCCGGAAGGTGACAGGTTCTCTATTTGAGAATGTTATCATTTATACGTCTGGGGAATATTTGTGAACGTTGCAATATGTTCTGAGTAAAACAGGCGCTGGTTTATATTTTTGTAATTGTGTTGTACTTCAACATATAGTGTAAAACAAGCGAGCTGCACAATATGCAATTAACTTCAGTTTACTGAAATGATGGGAAACAAAACATTTTTATACAAGTGAATCATTTTAGCTCTAGGGGCACACTTTGTAAGGAAAGGCATTTGGTTGTACTCAACAGCACAGCCTTTGCTAGCCTTTTCCCCTCCAGATGTTTCGGACTTCAGCTCCCATGAACAAAGGCTGACTGGCACTGATGGAAGCTGTCGTCCAAAACATCTGGAGGGAAACAGGTTGGCAATGGTGCCTGCTAAAGCTCTTTCTGTTTAGAGAAGCCTCCCCAGACGTAGGCCTGTAGTTACCTAAATTCTACTCAAAGTAGACCCACTGAAGTTACTCAGTGTAAGTTAGTCATATCCATTGCTTTCAATGGGTCTATGTGGAGCAGGACTAGCCTTGGATACAATCCATATATTTTTATTATGCACATTTGTTTTTAAAATCTGTTTATTTTTATGTCTGTTTTTAAAGTCTGTTTTTATGGTTATTCTTAATGAATATTTTATGCAATTTTATGTAAACCCGTTAGATATTTTCTCTTGATTAAGCACTACATAAATCTTGCTAAATAAACAGAGAATAAAATGCTTCCACTCATGCTAGCCAGAGCACCTAAATTTCATGAATCCCTCCTCCCCATCTATTACAGCCCTCCATATTTTGCGACACACACACACACACACACACGAGAGAGAGAGAGAGAGAGAGTATTCTCTGGAAATTCCATAGCTGTTGCATTTACCCAGGTTTGGTTTACTATAGGAAATGAGGTCACTGGAAGTTTATTGCAATTTTGTAATATGTGTTGGACGTATACATTTTAAAAACTGTGCTTGACAACCAAATCTACTGCCCGACATCAGAACTTCAGACAGAGACAGCTGCCTTCTCCAGATGCTTACAGAGCCCCATACTCAGCTCTCCTCCCTGTCTCTCTCTCTCAATCTTTATGAGAAACTGCCATTTCCCTTATTTTTCACACATAGACCTAGGGAGCAATCCTATGAGTAAGAAGCTGGTGTAAAGCAAGCCGGTGTAAGTTAAGCAGGTGTAAAATTGCACAAGATCAAAATCCCATTCAGCAGCAGAAATCAAAATCCCATTCTGCCTAAGTCAGGGAGGGGCTGGGGAAACAAACCTTTAAAATAGGGTTGTAAGACAGGTTAATGAGTCACGTGACCAAGCCTACCATGTCACTTTTGGAGGTCTTACACCAGCCTTGGCTGATCTCCAACTGAGCTAGTGTGAATAAGCTAAGGGTGGTGGGAATTGTAGCTCTCATACCCTCCAACACATTGAAGCCAATATATGGGACACCATCTTCCCAGACACCATCTTTCCATTTTTTATCATGAGAGCATGGCACCCGTTTTGGTTGCTGTGATCTCACGATTTTGCACCATGGTCGTCCCCCTCCCAAAAAAAAGCAGTTGGGGGGGGCAAAGCCCAAAACACACATTTTGGGGCACCACACAAGATCACTGCTCACCAAAAAGCATTTTTCTTGGGGGAGAATCATGCAGTGAAATTGCGAGAGACCACGGCAACCAAAATGTCTGCTGTTCTCTCACGATAATCAATAGGATGTCCTGATATTTCTGAGACACTTGTGGGGTATGAGCTTTGTGTGGGGCAAACTACAGTTTCCAAGATTCTTTGGGGGAAATCATGTGCTTTGAATGTGCTTCAAATGTATGGTGAGTATGTAGATTGTGGTTGGCTTTTCTCAAGAAGCAATCTTCTAAGTATTCTGAACTATTAACATTCCTCCATCAAATCCAAGACTCTGCCCAGGTACTGCTTTAAGGCAAACCCACAGAAATATCTTGATGCACTGAAATCCAATAAAACCCATAACATGCAACAGAATTGTGTTTTCTGAATTGCGTTCAGCTAATTCCATTATAAACTGTGCAGATCACATGCATCATATCTCAAAGTACTCAAAGGATAACCTTTGCAAACACAGAGTTTTGAAAGCACATTTCAACACCATGGCTCAAGAGTTAACACTGCTATAATTACAATACTTAACACCTATAGAATGCTTTCCCTGAGGGTTCGAATAGATTCATAACCACCATCTCAAAAATCCTCACAATAGCTTCATATTTATAGGCAAGACTTGAAGAGATTTGTGGTTTGCTTAAAATCCAACCAGTGCATTCAGTAACTGAAGGGAGGGGAAGGGAGGTTTGAACTGGGACTTGCTGGCTTACTGTACACACACTTGGCCCCTATGCTGCACCACCTTCCTTTTGCAAAATGCAGCCCAATCCTGCGCATGTTTACCTGAAAGTAAGTGAAGTGGATTAAACTGGACTTCCTCTCATGCACAGGATCATTTGCCTACATAGAAAGAGCTGTCTTCTTATGGGAATGGAAGGAAGGTTACGTCCTAAGGCTGGGCGTCTCCTCTTCAAAGTGGGAGAGCTGGCAAGTCCTGGTTCCTGGAACAGGCTCTCTGGCTTTAGAATCCCTCTTGGCCTGTGAGGATTGCCAAGCCCATCTAGTAAGTTGCTGTGCCCAGCCGGGGTCCCTGGCTTCAACCTCTGGCCTGCCATGACCCCACATCTGACTTGACTCCACCACTTGGCACAGACTGAATCTGATCCGCTTTCTGCTTATGCATGCCTGGGTGGGCCAAATCCTGCGAGCGAGTGCTGCACCCAAGCTCAGCATGTGGCACCACTTCCTTTCACGTTTTTTAGCTGTTGACAGGTATGCATGGAGGAATGGAGGCGAGCCCAGCTTCCTGGTCTATTTCCCACTCTGGAGCAACGCTAAAAGCATGAAGCAAAGCATCCTCAACCACTGCGTGCCAAGCATTGCCCGTGGCAAGAAGATTAATGGGTGGGCTTTGGGAGAGCACTTAAAAGAAGAAGCAGTGGGATTAACAGGGATTTAAGGAGCCCAGACACTGTTGCCAGTGAGCAGCTGATATGTAGCCGGTGGCTCACAACCTCCGTTTTCCAAGAAATGTTGCAGCGGGGTTGTTTGACAAGAAAACGACTAAAGGTTTTGTGTGTGGTTGTGCTTTTGGAGGGGAGGGAGAGACTGGGGGTGCTTCCAAGACAGGGGCTTAATCTGCAAACGTGTTGTTGAGATGTCGCCAAGGAGTCATTGGCAACAGCCATTGGATTTTCCCTGCAAAGGGTAAATTGGATTACATTTTGGAGGGGGGGGCAATGCAGGCTGCCATTTTTGATGTTGTTGTAGACACTGCTAGGTGAATATGTCACTTTTCGTTTTTCACTTTCCAGTTCTCCACATTTCTATATCAATTCATGATATATATATTTTTTAAATCATCAGCATTTTAGTGTAAATTACTCCCAATGTACACATTTTTGTATGTATTTTTTCCTAATATACAAACATTTGCAAATGATTTCCCCTAGTATAATGCATTTTTGTATACCACTGTATTTGCACTAATATATGCACACTTTAGCCCAGTACATGCATTTTGGATATATTACTTGGCTGTAGAACTGCACTGCAAAATTTGGAGAAGTGCAAATTTTGAAGGATAATTGCATTTCAATTTGTGTATGGTTTTGGAAAATGCAAATTAGGTAAGTTCAGAATTTTTTTACATTTCATTAAATGTATACACAGCTTGATTGTAACAAATCATCATCATCATCATCATCATGTCACAGTGGTTTACAAAAAAAATGCCACCTGAACTGAATCCCTCCCCAGCCCCTATCTCTAGTGGTGGCTGCTTGGTGACTTGCTTTGACTTAGACCTGGGGCTCTCCCTACCCTGTTGGCTTTTGTTTAATAACCATGTACAGTTTTCTTTCTTGGTCACTGTGGTTCTTTGTCTCCATATCTCTGTTGGGGAGAGGGTTCCAGAGTTCTGGGCCTCTGTTAGGCTGTCTTGATGTATTAGAAAATTCTCCCAACGCTACTTCTATGGACCTAGATCCAAAGGTAGGATTGGAACCAGTGCCCCCAATTCCCATTCCCCAGAGCCAGTCCAGGAGGATAACACGGTCGATGGTATCAAAAGCCAACGAGAGATCCATAAGCAAGAGCAAAGTTGCACTCCTCTTGCCCTGCTCCCTGCAAAGGGTAACCAAGAGCCACTCAGTTCTTCCAAGGCCAGGCCTGAACCCAGATTGGAATAGATCTAAATAATCTTGTCACCCAGGAAAACTACCCTGGGATCACTTTGATATGTTGAAGAGTGGTCTATGAATGTGAAAATAGTAATAATAGATAAATTTATCAGGGATCCATGCCAACTGTCTTCTTGCCATGAGCAGCCATTGGAACTGCTGTATTTAATGGCCGCAAGCTGCTCAACACCAATTGCTTGTGACCACGAGAGAGAGAAGGCTGCTGTGCCTTCGAGCCTCTGCTTATGAGATTCCCAGAAACCTTTTGGTTGCCTCCTGTTGAATAGGAAACAGGATGCTAGGCTAGCTGGACCTTCACTCAGATGCAGCAGAGCTTTCATTATCTTCTTGCTGAGTTTGTGAACATACATATGCAAGGAGGAACACAAAGCCCATGTCATTGTGTCATTGTGGAGTTTTACAGCTCTTGGCTTGAAGGTCCAGAGCGCTAATCTAGGCTACCATTTTTGCTTCTATAACAAATTCCCAATCCTGCTTCCTGTCCTCCAATTTGAACCATTAGATCAGAGGCCACAAACATCACATCCACATCCTATGGATGCTTGCGGAAAGTCTTGGTAAATATCCCTCGGAAATCCACAGTACAAAAGAACAGTTTCTGTTTGTTCTGGCTCTGCCTCTTGCACATTGAGCATGCCCCTTCAGACATGCTCACATGTATCTGGGTGCCAGAATG